ATGAATAACTTTAAGACTGCAGTAGTACAAACTCGTTGTGCTAGTTTTTACTTTGTTTCAGCCCACAAATAAATATAAATAGATGTATTTAGTATAGTCCACCTTTTCCTAGTAAAACATTATGGGCAAGCTTGGATGTGCAAAGAGTGGTTATGTAATACTATTCTCTGATCTAATTAACAAATACTCATACAGAGTATTTTTTAGGTAACCAAGAAAAGGTTAGAAAAGAGGAAAGAACTTTGTTCTGTATCCCAGGCATGGGCAGCTCTCCCTGCTATTCCTCACTGAAAGCAAAATACCAGGGGTTTCTTAGTGTTAGATTTTCCCAAATAACTTGAACACAACGACATTCACTTGAGAATGCCTAAAAAGAAAAGCTAAAAAATAACTCCAGGCATCACCCATAACTTCTTCTAAAATCCAGCTCTGTTGTGCAGCTCCCAGCACACACAGTCAACAGGACTGACCTTGTTGAAATCTCCCTGGGAAAGCAAGATAGCTCTAAAAAAAGAACACCAGGCCCTCAAGATTAATTGCTAACTATTAATAAATTAGCATATTTCTCCCTCTTCTCCCAGACATACCTATAAATGTAGCTGCCCAACAGCTTTACCAGGAATCTGAGGTACTTTACTCAGGAAATCTGAGTATTTCATGACATATGCAGGAATAAGTAATGTCCATGAACTCCTGAGAAAGGGAATAACTGAACCTGGAGTGCAATAATGAGCCCAGATTTGATCAGATGTGATCCCCAGCCAGCCAAGTCTACAGCTCCAGTGACAAAGGCCAGACTGTAATGGAGCCTCACAACAACAGAGGCTTCTAACCACAAGCATGTCAAATTCGTCTTTACCGTGTAAAATTTTGCTTGAAGTCACAACTCACACAAGCATGTGAAGCCTGGGGAAAGGGGGAAGAGACAGATCAGGCTACGGCAAACAAAGAGGAGGCACAGCGATGTCCCTAAGACAACAGTGACATTTCTCACACAGGAGCTCTATGACAAATGCTGCTTTCCTTCTCCTCCTCACATCTTTTGAGGAATGACCTTAACTGAAGGGTTTCCAGTAGCCAGGGACTTCTGAGACCAGAAAAAGTTTCACCATACCATCAAATGTCATTATGCCAGTAAAATTAAGTCACTTTTATACAGCGTACTGCAAATGTGCTGCAACTTCTATGGCCACTCACCTGCCCTGCAAGAAGCTGAGTAACTCTGGGAGTACTCCTTGAGGAACTCTCAAGAAATTCAGGCACACAAGAGAGTGCTGTGATATACAGGTGAGGACTTTGAGCCCCCAAGCATCTTACGCTGCACAAAAGCAAGATCACAGGTCAACTACAACACTACCCAGATGTTAGTCTGTACCACAACAAAAATCAACTCAGAACAGCCCAGAGAACCAAACCCCAAATACATCTTCTCAGCAGAGGTAGGAAACAGTGCAGACAATATTGTTTAAAGAGCACAAATTGCACGCCAGCCCAAGCACAAGTAAATCAACACAGCATCCTAGGAAAATGCATACCTTTTCCTGGCTGAATATGGCCTCTAAATACTATCTGAATTCATTGTGCTGTAAGAGAAACCTTTAACTACACCATCACTTCTTTCAGACAGAAATCAAGGTGGTGCTTATAGAAAAAAAATCAGATTGTTTTCAAACATTGATGCTGTAGCTAAAAAGTTATCACATCCTTGCTTAAAAATGCTTCATGTACACAGAAAATTGTTGGCAATAAAAGCACAAGTCTTCCTCTGCAGTTTCAGTTTAACTAGACCAGCTCTTATTAGCTGCATAGCCTGCTATTGCCAGTACAGCACCCTGTGCCAGAAAAAACACCCTTGTTCACAAAAAATAGCAGCATTCTAGTCTGAATTAGCAAGAGAAGACAAGCAACTGTGTTTTGTATCAGCTGTTGTTGGTAACAATGAACAGAGCCCTTTTTATTTAAAACCTGACAACAAACATCTAAAAATATTTATGTTTAGCTTACTATTTCTTGATAGGTTCCATTTTAAATGCTAGATAAATGCTTCTTACAGTATTTTCCAAGGACTGAACATCTTAAAACCTCAGAGCAAAACTCTTCAGGAACAAGAGTTACCCTGCTTAAAAAGTTACTTAAAAGCAACATTAAAAAAAAAAAGTAAGCTGACCAGGATCAAATAAGCTGTCCAGCAATGGTCATACAGCCTACTTTGGGATTTTACTTTTTACAGGTTTGTTTTATGGAAAAGGGTAAGTTTCCATGATTCCTTTTGGTCTGGAAAAGTTATAAAAAAATATTTAATTTATCAAAGTTTGATGGGGGGGGGGGGGGGGGGGAGCAAGAAGGGGCTCAGTTTCACATTAAACATTAATATGGACTGAGTCAGACCACAATTTCCACCATTCTCTACATTTTGCAAAGAAATTTTTTATCATTGTATGATAAGTAAGAATCATTATCTGCAAAACCAATCTCCCCACTGAGAGCTGGCATCTCCCAGCAGTTTTATACATCATGCTCCTAAAATACATCTCCACAGCACCACAGCACTGACTACTGGCAGCAGATATCACCAGCCAAATAATTTTGCCCAGAGTTCAACCAGATCATGGCATCACTTCTCACAGAAGGCACGTGCAAGACAACAAAGAGCTTAAGCTCCCCTCCAAACACTTGTTCATCAAACTAACCTTGAGAATTAAATGAAATATTCATAAGTTAAAATTAAATTGGTCTTGGTCAAACATGAAACCCAGTGGTTGTGAACTACACAGTAAATAACTACTTCGGGTTGAAAATAAACTATGAGACATTGTGCTAACAAGGCTGTTAGCTAGCTATTAAAGCCTCTATTTTCAGGTTCAGAGATGAAAGTATAACCATAAAGAAAAATTTTCCACATGTCATTTCTTTATTACAGTCTTGTCATGCAGGGAGTGACATAAAATGACTCTGTGTACTAAACAAGTCCAACGCTTACCTCGAAACTAAAAAACAACAGCACAAACAAAAGTCACCAGGAGTCTTTAATTTATTCCTTTGCATTTCAAAGTACACGTGTTTGCATTAGTCAGAAGATCCACTCCCCAACTACAGCCAGCCCTCAAATTATTCTGCATAACACTAATTGAGGGTCCAGCTGAAGAGTTACCTGCTCAAGGAACCTGCAAGTAAAATAAATTATGCAAGAAAGGAAGCCAAGCATGTTTAAGAATAATAAAGGCTTTTAAAATGATTAGCAGGTTTACTCTTTAATCTGGCAAGGCAACAAACTTTCAGCACCCAAGAGAAAAAACACAATGAGGGAAAAGCTTTATATAAATATCCCACATGCCAAAGCAAAAGGCTTATTTCATTGGAACAATGCACTCCTGTTTAAACCAATTCCAAGCATAAAAAAAAAAGACAGATCTTTCTGGAGGAGTTATTTATATGTTAACGCATAACTTCACAGCACGTTTGTGTGGAATCCTCTCCTCACAAAGGCTGCTTGGACAGTCCCTCACTGGCACCGGCCCCTTCAGGCACATGTTCACGCTCAGGAGGGCTGGGAGTATCCATCTCTGGCTCTCTGAAAATACGATTCTGCTTTCCAAACTTGCCGGATGAGTGTGGGGCCGCGCTGCTGCCAAGCGCTGACCGCAGGCCCGCGGTGCGAGCGGCGCGCTGGTCCCGAGTGAGGGACGGCCGGCAGAAATGGCTGCTGCGAGCCAGAGAGGGAGAGCGCCGCCCCCAGCGCGGGCAAACCTGCACTCCTCACAACACTCCCAACTTCTCAGCAAATTAAACTCCAGCTAAGCCTGCGAAAATACTTTATGTAACCAAAGAGGATCACACTAAAACCTAATGCCGCAAGAAAAAAAAAATAAAAGAGACGCGCGCTCCAGAAGCCATAAATCCCTCACCCAACCCATAGCTCCACTTCCCTTTTGATTCATTCCCTGTAGAGCGGGAACTGCGACACCCCGGTCGGCATTCGGAAAGCGCTCGCAGGGTCCAAGTGCAGCATGACAACACGGGGTTGAACCTGCCCTCAGAGGAAGCCCCGGCAACACCCAGCGCTGCCGAAATGCCCGGGCAGGAGCGGGGCGCCCGCAGCCATCCCGCCCCCCGGAGCCCCCCGGGGCTGGGCGGGCTGCACACCACGGCCCCGCCGAGGCTTTCGCTGCTATGTCAGCACTGCCAACAAACGTCGAGGGAGAGGAGGACGTTTATGCTAGCGGGAGAGGGATGAGGGACACAAGCACGCACCCGAGAGATGAGGGGTGGGAGGGATGGACGGACAGACTGGCGGACTAAGGGGCCGCTATTCACCTCTCCGAGCGGCAGCCCAGCGCTTCAGTCCCATCACCGCTGAACAGGAGTTCTTGCTTAGTTGAGCTAGTTTAAAAACTTCTTGCTTAAGTTACAAACCTGAAGTTTTTTCGAACTGTCAGCGGCTTTCGCTTGAGAAGCTGCAAGTTAACTTTCGCAGGACTTTTCCAACCTGAATTACCCTGATTCCAAGATCCTCCTACCTGCCTGAAGGAGCGCGGTAATCCCCCGCTCCATGCAAGCAGGCTGGCCAGGACGAACCAGGGAGAAGGGGACCAAGCCATGGGTAGAGACCCCACTGCAGATATATATATATATATATATATATATATATATATATATATACACGTGGACCTGCAGTTAGCCAATCTCGCTGCAAAACTTTCTCTGTCCCAGCGTCAGAAAAAGAAAAAACCAAAACAACACGGAAAATCCCGCAAGGCGAAGCAGGCGCCAGCAGGCGTGGAGGAGCGCCGGCAGGAGGGCGCGGGAAGCCGCCAGCTCCCGAGCACCACGCTGGGCAGTCCCGGGGCTCGGCCGGGGCCGGCGCTGGCAGAGGCCGCGCTCCCCCGCTCCCCACGCCGCCGCCCCGCCGGGCAGAGGAGCCGCAGCGGCAGCGGAGCACCCCCAGCGCGCCGCCGAAAAGTTCCCCCGGCGCCCAGACGGCAGGGCCGGCTCCCTCTTACCCTTAGTCCAGTCCACCACTTGCTTCGGGCTCCACTTGGTCACCGGCTCCATGGCGGGTCCGAGCCTGCCGGCACCAGCCCCTGCTCAGACCGCAGCTCCTCCGGCCGCGGACTCGCCCCCTCTCACGCTCCCATCCCGGCGGCGCCGCTCCAGGCCGCCCCCTCCCGGGCCCGGCTCCTCCCGCCGGCCGCGACCGGGCCCGCCCCGCTCCGCCCCCAGGTGCCGCGTCCCGCCCGGGCCTCGTGCTTGGGAAAGCGCCGAGAAAAAACTTCCAGGGGTTCCCGCTCCGACAGGTCCGGAGACACGGCGATTCGGGAGTCGCCCAGCATCCTTCCCCGGGAGCGGCGGGCGGGCCATGGGGTGGAGCGGCGGCCAGGCGCTGCGCCCTGCTTCGGTGGTGGCTCAGAGTGAGTCACAGCCTTGGGGCAAATTTAGCATCAGAGTGCCTTGAACCACGTTTGCCCCCGAATTGGCATTTGGGGTTTTTGATTCTGAATCCCGCGCCTAAAAGCGTCCTTGGGTGTGGAGGCTGTTTCGCCAGAAGAGTTTACTTTTATTTTGCTCACTTCTCTTGGGGGCTGCATTAAACCATCAGTTACACCTTAGACTAGCATTCCTCGTGGGAAATTTGTCGCTTGTGTCCTGGCCACCTCCCGAAGCCCATGGAAGTCCCTACTGAATGTCAGTCTCTTCTCAGAGGTTAAAGAGCTGACCTCCAGAACTGTGTGCCCAGCATACCGGCTTCTGCCGTTCCCTAGCACTGAGCACATAAATCGGCCTTGCAAACACCTTTCCGTGCCGCAAGGAAACATGAAGAAAACAGGAGTTTTCATTGTGTCTATCACAATACTATCTGGTTCAGCAACAAATTGCAGCCTGAAGCCCTTTTGTAGCATGCACAAATGTCCCACTGCTCCTCTTCCTCAATGAGGAAGAAACAGTGTAAACACTGCTGTGACAATAAGAGTGTGAAATTTTAACTTGGCAATATTACAGAGTGGGCAAGCAGCTGGGAATTGAGACTGTCCAGTATCCCACTGTTTTCATCATCTCCCATCTCGACCCATCTGTTATCCTCAGTCATGGAGTTGAAATGTAAGCTCTTTGGGACAGGGGCTGTCAGTCCCATGCAGGGCTGTGCAACACCCAGCTGTGCAGAGCCCAGCTTTCCCACCGCACCACAAACAGCTGCCTTCTGGCACACACTGCTGCAGACCCCTATTGGAATCAGGAGGAGTTTCAGATCTAGTTCTAGTTTGGGGAACCAGTAGTTTAAAAGAAAGGGGGTGTGCATGTATACCTAAAAAGTATAATTTTTTCTCTTTTTTTGTTACATGGTGATTGAAGGTATATTTTTAGCTCTTTATTATAAGGTTAACTCGTTTTAGCTGATTTCTGTATTTGCTTTCTAGTTTCTGAAATAGAACAGCTGTCAGTTAACCTCTCTGCCTATCTGAAAGATTAAAATGCAGTTCCTCACAGCTTTAATATTGGTGCAACAACCAAAAGTTTCCTGATTCCCTATTGAATCATGTTGCCATTCATGCTTAAAAAAGGTAAAACAGCAGCTCTCCCCCCTCTCAAAGGCCTGAGTAAACAGATGGACCCTGCTAATGGTTTCACATGGGTTAATGTAACAGCACTTGTTTTAACTACACAGATGCTTTCCTAGGTTGCAGGCAGGATAGCAAATGTCTCTCGTCCTTGGTGTTTGGAACATTCATCTGCTGTCATCCTTCTCTGTCACAGGTCTTGGGCCAGTGCCTCTGCCTGATTTGGGTCAGATGAGCACCATATTTTGTGAAGAAGGCATGCAGAGAGGGTTGCTAGCAGATTGCCAATCCAACAAATCTATTATTAATACTTAGTATTTTTGGTCATTTTCAAAGTGACAAATCTATTAATTTATTTTTTTTAAGCAGGACAACATTGCAGTGACTTTCATTCTTTTACTTCATGATGTCCCCCAACACCAACTGCTTTACAGCCTCTTCTGGACAAAAGAAATGGGGCTGGCAGGGGAAGGCAGCATGTCTCCTGTTTCTCAAAAGAATCCTAGCCACATTGCTTACCTGTGCTACTCTTTGCAAACCCACATTACAGCTGCCTTTGAGTTGATCTTTCTCATGATTACATCACCATAATCTGATCTTTATTTGAGATGAGATTACCTTGTAGTCACTGGCATGATGCAATTAGAAGTTCTGTCTATACAATAAGGTGGTTTTTGTTTAAAAAGAATACCCATTGCCAAAAGAAATAATAATTTTTAAAAAACCAAGCAACTCTGTCCATTTTCTAGCAATGCCATATTAAAAAACTACACTTCTCCTTTGAATGCCTTCAGATGCTCTGTAAGTTTGTTTATGAGTTTTTAGCCAGTACCAATTATTACCAAAGATGTCCATTCCTTTTCTCTGCTTGCAGCCTTGCACGGCATTCATTGCACTGCCAAGGACCTGGCTCCCAGCTCTCCAGAAGTGCACAGGTTTCTTTTATTACCATTTTCCAGTGGTAAAAGTAAATTGATTTGAGAAGACAATTCAGACCAATTGTTTGCTGATTCCCTATTTTGTTTTCTTCCTTTGTATATCCTCTTGCACTCCAGGTTCTCAAAGGGCTCTCAGGCCAGTTTGCCTAACAACACAGAGCTTAGCAGAGCTTAGTATGGACCATGATCTCGGCTTCACAGTCCTAGGCACAGCAGTATGCACCCTCCCACCACCCCAGAGGAAAGACAAAAGAGTCTTTTGTCTAAACCCACAGCCACATCCTGTCAAAATGGCAGAAGAAGCTACACAGTGTTTGCCATCTTCAGCTTTCTCTCGTGGCAGCTGATCAGCAAGAGCAGGGCAGATGACTCTCTATAACAGAAAGTCTATGGAAATAAATTATCCTTTCAAGAAAAAAAAAGAGTATTTGGATAATTGAAAAAGCTTAGCATCATTTCATTAGCTATATTGGCGGTACTCTTAACACATGCAGCTTAACACTGCATTACAATTTTTTTCTAAACACAATCTGGTTGACCCTGCCTCTTAGGCCTTAATTTTTCATTCCAAATCTGTGACCTACCAGGTTACCTGCCTGGACCTGTTTTTTTGACATAGAGATGGTCATATGCCTGAGAAAGTAACCAAAGTGGACAACAAGGATGACATTCAAGTTTTTAACTAGCATGAGAGGCAATAGATGATCTAGCACAAATACCTGCTGATACAGAGAGAACACACCAAAATTCCTTGAACAGTTGAGAGTTAAGTTTGAGTTTGAACCAGGTTATCTCTTCACATCACATTGCTGTTTTTGTCCCCTGGCTGCTGCATCACAGTGTGTCTGTTACCAGACTTACTACCACCCACTATAGCTATGCCTCACATTCCTTGGTGTTGTGCAGGTTTGCAGGGACAGCAGCTCCCTTCTCTAAGAGAGGTAACTGCTGCTACTCATCTCGAGGGGGATGAATAAACAACTGCTTTGCCAAAAGTCACATACCAAGTTCAAAAATTGTGGGTTTTGTTTAGGGCCACAAAAAGGTAATTTTCTTACTGGATCGATTTTTTTAGGGTCAGCATATTGCAGTTTGTGTTTTTGAGTGGAAGGGATGTTTATGTTGCACAAAGCACTAAGCAAATTTTACATTACATTACATTTTAATTACATTATTCATGAAAGGCTCGAAGTTTATTTGTTTCATATGCATAGCTGAAAGCTAAGAAAATTGACAAATTTAAAGTGTGCAGAACAAAAACCAGTATATGGGTAAAAAATCCACTATTTGCCTCTATTGACAATCCATAGATGAGCAGTTAGGTGCTCGTCCCTAACCTTTTATTAGTCATAATGCCTCAAATACTGTCACTACAAAAAAATAAAAAAAATAAAAGTTAGGATTTATCTTTTCAAGCATTACCTTAATCACACACAGAGGCCACAGAAGTCAGTAAGACTTTTTGCACAACAAGAAAATTTTACCCTACATAACTGGAACTGAGAACTTCCCGGTAAGGTCAGTGAGTATTCAAGTTCTTTTGGAAATTGCAACAGGTAACTTAACTGAGTCAGAGTGAGTCAAATTCGGAACTGGGTTTGGTTCAATCATCATGTAATTAAAAAAACTCATGCTAATGGGAAACTGTTGTTGCATAAGAATCAACATCCTATTTCTCACTTTGATACCAGTACTGTTTAATGATGTATCTCTTCTCTACATGAGAGTGTGGGAGATCTTGGTGTAGCCTGATGAGAGAAATAGGTCTGCCCAGTGGTGTTTCGAATACAAGGTTATTCCTGTTTATCAGTAACCAAAATTAGGTTATGAAGACCCACATATATGACTGTATTTATAATGGATCTATCAGATTTATTATTTTTCCCCCATAATAAAGTTCCTGTGCTACTTATTTCCTAAGGATAGGAGTTCTGTATTTGGATTGTCCTTGTTATTCAGCTTTAAACTACCTACACAAAGTTCCTAGTTGGGTGAAAGTTGCCACTGTCTCCTGGTATAGGTGTATATATATATATATATATATATATATATATATATGTATATATATATATGTCTGCATATAAATAGATGTGTGTGTATCTGTACACTGTTGACTCTGCACAAAACTGATGTAGGCTGTAAGGAGAAAGGTCTTCTCCTGAAGTTTTCCTCAGAACAAAATCCTAAAAACTTTAACAAGTATATGTTTTTCCTTTGAGAATGCAGATACAGTGCCTGTTTTGCCATACACTGGCCTTTTTAATTCCCTAGGTGGTTTTATTAATCAGATCTTCAATCCCTGCATAGAAATAATTTCCTCCACTGCATCTTGTGCTAAGGCAGCATGTTTAAGAAGAGGATCACAAACTTGTTGTGCAAATTAGAAATGTATTAAAAATGTATTTCATAACTATTAGAAATTAGGTTGTAAATTTATTTTGGTCTAGCTTAGGTTCATTTACCTGGCTGTGAAACTATCTGACTCTCAGGTAAACAAAGCACAAAAGCGATTTGTGGAAAATTACAAAATTCACCAATATCAACATATAAAGTGAAACTTAAAGTCAAATGAGAGCATTTTTGTATAGA